ATTCATAAATATATAAAATCCTATGGATCACGATGATTTCGCTTCTTCTGTGAATTTTTTTAAAAAAATATTTGAGCTAAAAACGAAAATTGTACCAGGTTGTAAGGAACGATAGAATTTTTTTTCCTCGAAATGTAAAAAATGGATATTATTTTATAGATCACAATAAACTCGTTCCATCTTTGCAATGATTTCAAACTTCGAGTTAAAACAGACAATATACAAGCCAATTAAAACTATAGGAAAAGAACAGATTGTTTGATATCGCATATCAGATTTGACCCTACTTAAAACCAATAAACTAAATATGATTATGCATCCTTGATCCTACCCTACACGCACCAAAAGATATAGACGAACTATTATTTCATCAATATACCATCACATAAAATTCATATTAGCTCTACGTACTAATAAATCAAATTGTTATATTAGAATTAGTATGTTATTCACAATGCACTCGTTCTACCTGTAAAAAATCAAGATTGAGTCAAAACGAAGAAAATACAAATCGATTAAAAATGTAGGAAAAATAAAAACTTGCATCGCCTTTTAGATTTGACCCCACTTAAAATCAATACACTAAAACTGATTTGATTATGCATCCTATCCTACACCAAAGAAATATTCATGGCGGTGGCTAGCTATAACGAAGATATATAGATGAACTAATTTTTCGTCAATATAACATCACAAAATTCATATTGCCCTACTAATGAATCAAATTGTTATATTAGTAGTATTTATCACATATAGTATGTTACTCATCGATTTAAATAAATATGTATACGATATATAAGGAATGTGATCTTGTTTTCGAGATTGGTAACAAATTAAGTTGAAGTTCAGTGACTGCTTCAGGTGTCTAAGTATAGGATTAATTTAAAAATCCATGATTAGATTTAGAGTTGATGATACTAAGAAAGAAGAATAGGAATCTATTATATATCTCCCTGGATAAATGATTTATGATGCATGTATAAAATGTCTACACATCTCTACGTTTGTCACGTGAAGGTAATAGAAATAATCAAATAATGGCCCCAATCTCACGTGAAGGGAAGCCCGCTCCATAGGCTTCAGCGCTTCACCAAACAAAGAATGAGTTGGTGGTAAGAGATGCACCAAAAGTTAATACCATAAATAAATAACCCCCGACTTACATTTTGGTTGGACTATGGATGGCACCAACTGAGATTGGGAGAGAGTGGTGGGTTGTTGAGTTGGCTTGTAACTACCGTTAATATATTGTCGTTAATTTATGGCCCGCGCTTCACTGCGGGATTGAGATGAACTGTTTTCCTTTATTAATTATGAAATTCTCGATAAAATATATATAGGAATTAGAAAATAATTAATTAACCATGAATGCAATTATATTTCGATTGTAACGATCTACCATTAGAGGTAGAGGTGAAAATTTTCAATCCAATAGAATTCATCCACTTAAATATTCAACGAAACGAATCCATTTAAATCCAATTGGATTGGTGGATTAATGGATATTTGGAAACTATATTTTTTAAATTTACATTTTGATATCTAAGTTTTAATTTTTTTACGTAAAATATCATTGAAAAATTATATTTTGATAGCTTAAAATTTTTATTATGACATTTTAGTATCTAAACTTTTCAAAATTTATATAATCGTTCAATTATTTAGATGCCGGATATAATCAATTCATTAATCCACTAATCCATTTGATCAAAATCCATATGATCTATGGATCAACCCATCTATAGATTCAATTCATTTGCCACCTCTAATTAGAGGCAACATTATTTATTATTTTTAAAATCCAAAGTGCGCAACTAAATAGACGCCATAAATACAAAATAAATTGTGATATAGAAAAAGAAAAATACGAAAAATAAGAGGAAAACTAAAAGATACTCCATCAAAATTTCCTCTCCGTTAAAAGATAGCCGAGCAAAATTTCATCTCTTAATAGTTAATCCTACTATGTATTTATAAGTTGGAGGGTTAAGTCCAACCTGTAGAATAAGCAAAGCTCGGTTTTTTAGCCCAACCCATTAGGACATCAAAGTCATATTTTAAGCCCGATTAACCAAGGTTTTGCTAGAATTAACAGCAACAGGCACTCTTAGGCAATAGTAACCGTGCTTTATGTTTATATATAGTAATGTTAAACTTTAGATCGAAAAATAGATTTCTCATTGATGTGCTCCTAGTAGGGAATGCGAGAGAACTGATGCAGTCATGCAACAAGCAATAAGCATTATGCGAGTTGTGTGTGATGGTAGACTGGTTGTAACAATGTGACCCATTTTGAATGTCAACTTGGTCTTTAGCTAGAGACCACTTTGATTTTGTTATCAATGAAACCATTAAATGGCCAAATTCGCGGGCCACAATTGTATTTGGGTCTTATTGAATCTTAGTTTTTGGTTAACTGTAAACTGTATAACCCGTTGATCTTTGGTTGACATGGGAACCGGACTCACCTCACAAAAATATGTGAGGATTCTATCCTCATGTTTTTTTTTATAACAAGATCGCTCGTATTAACGAGTAAACATCCATATACAAAGTAGCTACATAGCTCAAAACAACCAAGCAACAAAATTGAACCTTACAATCAGAGGGAACAACGAAAGAGCCTTTTCCCACAAAATGTACAGCCCTATTACACTGATCTCGGAGCATCCGCAGCGGCTGTCAAAGAGCCATTTCATTTTGACGTGGCAATCCCATTTGCCTCTGTCATGGTTGGAGCACCTCTTTCACAAAGTGGGATCTTCCACAAAGTGAAATAGCAAATGGAAGAGCAAGTGGGCTCCATCCCACTTTTGTTGCTATTTCCCTTTTTTCATTTCGATTTTCTTTTGGAAATTGTATTTATAAAAAATGGTAAAATGGAAGGGCATGTGTATGTGTACGTTTGATGCCAGTTTGATTACACAGATGAAGACGCGAACTTCGAAGTCTCGATGCCTACAGTTTCTCAAAATCATCTCCCGGAGTATGATGAGTATCTTCGGAACCACACAAGGATTCGTATAGGTCAACAAATAATCAACTTCAATCCGATTTAATTGAAGAGATATGGAATCGATTCGGAAAACGAAGGGTACGATGATTAATCTAGCATCATTTCTATGCATTTGTATTAAGTGTGTTTATTTGCAATAGTAATTGTGTTATTTACGTGTGTTTATTTGAATTGTGATTGTGTTATAATTTGTCATTTGAATATTGTACTTGTGACTTTAATAAAAGTTTCATGTATTTTTATTAAAGTCTACCCATTTTAAATTCCATAATTTATTTTTTTAATCAATGAATAAAGCTATAATATATTTTTTAATGAATTAGTAAATTTATTTCATCATTGATAATTAAATAATTACAATATATTATTTTCATTATTTGATATATCTTAAATTGGTAAAATCATATAGGTTAGATATAAATGTATAGATGTATTAAAAAGTAAGCTGGACCCACCATATGAAATAGATAGTGGATTTTATGGATGTAGAGGAAATGGAAGTGATATGTAGTGAAATAGAAAAAGCTGTTGATGTGGCAGTAGGGGCCACATATGGAATAGAAATTATATTTCATGGATGTGGATGGTCTAACAAAGCAAGCCTCAAACTACTCAAATAAATCTTGAAGCGCACAAATTTCCTGCAGAACAGTCCCACCACGAGCATCATTTAGCTGCCCCTCTCAAACTCCTAAGCACCATCTGAGCATCACCTACAAAAAAACAATGTAACATCTGAGCACCTTCTAAATATTCTATCCTCTTGGCGGATGTAAAATGATGACAAATAAGTTTTATTTTTTCTTATAGAAAATTTCTTTGTATTCGAGAGAAAATATAATATATCAAATATTTTTTTTACTAAGATATTGTCTGTTTTTGGTCTAACCCACATTGTTTTTTGTTTGGGGTACATCATGATGACTTCCCAATAACATGTTTTGTCAGGGAAACGGTATGGAGAAAACGGATTGAAGGCGCGCTTAATCACTCTCCTTAGAGTGTTATTTACCCCCACTACGTTGTTGCTGGTAGGAATTAGGCAAACAACCCACAGGAGTCCCTTCAACCAAAGTCTGAAAGCATCATCTTTCTGACTTATGTGTTTGTGTTTTTGGAGAAGAAAAACGAGGAGAAGAAGATGAATGTTAGACGAGAAGTCTAGTTGCAGAAGGCTTTTATTTATTGTGAAAACGGCAGTTCCCTTCCAAAGGGTTACGTCGTTTCACAAAAGTCAAACATCAATTAATTATCCAGAATTAATTAATCAAAATAATTCCGATAATTAAAAATTCAAAATTAATATGCCAAATTAAATAGCCCACACTTTTTTCCAAAAGCCCACTAACCACTTTATCCAATAAACTAAAATGAAAAGCAAACTTAAAAACCACTTGCACTATCCTTCTCCCCACCAATGTGGTATTTCCTTTAACTTTTTTGACTACTCTAACATGTTTAACTTCATCGTTCTTGCAATAACCTTTTCGTTTCACCCCTGAATACCTCTTGTTAGTTAAGGTTGGATTATTGCTAATGAGCCATGAATCTCTCGTACTTTGTGGATCTAAAATTTTCCTAAGGTATGACATTACACTTCCTTTATGACTGGACATCATCGTTGAGGTTCGTCTCACCATCGTTCAAGAAGGAACACAAAATGGCATCGGTAACACCAGTAATGTCTCGTTTTTAGGACCAAAATATTATCCACTTTGAGACTAACCCCACACGATTTTAATTTGAAGTGCATCGTGATTACTTCCTAAAACGTATCTATGCACTAATCCACCTTAAGCACCTCCAATTTCAGAGTTTTTAGAGAAATTCTTCCATTTAAAGTTTTAAACTCATAAAACCTATTATTAATTAGGATTGAATTATTTCTCTGTCACGATCATAAATCTTTCTTATACTTTGTGGATTTGAAATTTGTTAGTTTTAGAGAAAAAAAAAAACACATAGGAAAATATTGAAAAAAAGAATTTTGCAATATTCTTTGTTGGCCTGCTGCCCTGCCCTTTAACCCGAACGGTCGAACCCGTCTCTTGTTCTCGTCGTCTCGTAGCTCCAGTTGGACTAGGAGGAGAGAAGAAGAATACTGAGAGAGAGAAGACCCGAGGAGGAAACGGAAAGACCAAAACCAGCAGTTGACACGTTACGCTCCGCCGCGCTGCCGCCTGGCTACGGCGTTTCATTTCTTCCGCCACCTGGTCTTCGTCGTCGTGTTGCTCCTCCACGGAGGAAATTCTAAAAGGATCAAATCATGACGGGGATGATGGGATGAGAATTCCGTCCATCCGACGCTACCTCCGCTTCTCTTTCATCCGTTCATCGTTACTGGTTTCTTCTCCAATCCTGATCCCATCAAAACCCTAGCTTAGCTGCTCTCGATTTCGTTGTTTCTATTCCTGACGATTGGAGAATAGATAGTTGGAGAAAGGGGAATTTGCTGCCCCGATTCAATTCGAGCGAGTTGAGAAGAGAGTGATCTCAACGATCATTCTCGATTTCTTGAAGTTTGCCTGGTGCAACTGAGAGGAGGCCGTGTGAAGAGGAGAAGTAATGATGCAGAGACGGAGTCCTCCGAAGCACAGGCACGATGGGACTTCGCCTTTGCCCTTGGGGATGGATTGGAGCCCTCCTCCTCGAAAATTGGTACAATTCCAATTCCTCCTTATTTTGGTACTATGTTCAATTCGCTTAGCTACTGAGTTGCTGATCGCCTTTGATCGACCTCTATGAGCTCTAGGAGTTTGATTTTGGTCAGAATTTGATCTTCTCTTCAATGGTGTTTGGTCTGTAACGAAAATGCTCGGAACTGCGCTAGCTTTTGAAGTCATGGTGGCATTTGATAGCTGACCTGATCGTTCTGACCTGTGAGGCTATGGAAGCTCGATCTGATTGATTTAACTGGCTGTGACAGTTTATGGTATTCGGAAAACTAGGCATTTGAAATTAGGGTGGTTAGGTGATTGATCAATCTCATTCATTACTGCATCAGGTGGTGATAATATGTGCAAACGCTTTTAATGGCTTTACCAGTTAACATCATTCCCTGGACTTGTGGCATTAGTCTTCATCTCTGTTTTCGTTAAGTTGTTGTTTGAATCTCATCCAGAATTCGGTTGCTTTAGATCCATTATGCTCGTGTTTTAGCTGAAGCAAGTGCAGGATTTTAGTATGTGGCTGTTGGTGGTACCTTTTCAGTCTTCTTCCTGATAGACAATGAAACGCAAGTTCATACCATGTTTATAGTGGTCTTGAAACAAGTTCTTCACACCTCCTTAACTATCATAAACTGTTCTGAAGTTGAGAATCGACCTTTCCTAATTTGTTGCTCTTACATCTATTTAGTTTCTCTATAGGTGATGTTGGTCCCACGGTTCACACTCTGGATTGGTTGTCTTCAATCGTGCATTTACTAGCTATTCTTTTGCGAAATGTATCTGATTTGTTCTTGGATTTGAGTCTGGTCAGAATTGGATCCTGTCTTCGACCTTTTGGTCTGTACTGAAAATCTAGAACTGCAATACCTTCCAAGTCATGATGGCATTTGATCCATGACATGATTGTTCTGACCAGTGACAGCTTGATGTAACTGGCTGACCAGGTTTATGGTCGTAGGAAAACTAGTATTGTGAAGTTAGGATGGTTAGGCAATTGATCAATCTCATTTATTGCTGCACCAGTTGGCGATAATAAGTGCAAATGCTTCAGCAGTTTTGTCAGGTGACTGCATTCTTTCTACTTGTGGCATTCCTTCCGAGTGTGAATCTTATCCTGGATTCAGTTGCTTTAGATCCATTATGTTGGTATTTTAGCTCAAGCAAGTGCACGATTTTGGTACGTGGCTATTGGTGGTACCTTTTCGGTCTCTGTGTACACTAGACAATAAAAAAATTCCATGTTAAAGTGGTCCGGACAAGTTCTTTATACCTATCATAAACTATTCTGAAGTTTGAGAATGAACCTTTCCTAATTTGTTGCTCTTACATCTATAAGTTTCTTTATAGGTGATGTTCGACCCATGGTTCGAACACTGTATTGTTTGATTCTACACCCTAGCATTTACTAGTTATTCTTTTGTGAAATGTATCAGATTTGTTCTAAATGTAGGACGGTAACACCTAGGCTTTACAGCTATAGAGGAATAAGTTGAAGCAACTTTTCTTTTGTTCCTCAGCAATATGATTTTCCGGGAATTTCAATAAATAAAAGGTACTAGCTAGAAGTTAAATGCATAATGCAATCGGGCAGATACTGATCATCGTCCATTTGCATGGATGTCTTAGTGAGCTATCGTTCCTTTTCACTTAAACGGAACTATTTGGATAACTTTGCTGTTTGTCCTTTGAAGTTTTTAATTTTGCAGGACCTGCCATCTAAAGATTAGGATTTTTTTGGTTAATATTTTCGTATGGCCTGAACTTTGACCAAAATAAACATCCTGGTCAATCTTTTCGATCTATAACATCCTGGCCCGAACTATACACCAAAATAAACAATTTGGCCAGATCCGACTTTTGACCGTTAACTTGGACGGTTAAATGCGTTGACCGTTAGTCAACGCCCCATGTCACTGCCAAGTCAGCATAAAATATTTAAAATAATTCACAATTTCCACATATTCCCTAATTTTAAATTATTATAAATTAAAAAAAAATCATCTAATACCTTAGTTAAACCAAAAATAAAAAACGAAAAAAATTAAATATTTATCAGATCTTCTGACTTGGCAGTGACGTGGCGCGTTGACTGTTAGTCAACGCGTTTGACCGTCCAAGTTAACGGTCAAACATTGGGTTTGACCAAATTGTTTATTTTGGTGTATAGTTCGGGCCAGGATGTTATAGATCGAAAAGATTGGCCAGGATGTTTATTTTGGTCAAAGTTCAGGCCATACGAAAATATTAACTTTTTTTTTGAAGAAAAAGATTAGGATAAATACCGATTTTGTTGTTTGTTCTTCAATATTTTTTTAGTTTAGCAGTAAATGCCATTCCTGGAAACGTTTTGATGTATCTAAAGATTAAGGATAAATGCAATTTGTTTTGCAGAGTGGACGAGACACGGTTTGGCCACATGATCCTAGAACAGGGTGGAGTTACTGTATCACTGTTCCTTCATGGGTTGTCCTTGCGAAGTCCAGAGATTCAGATCCTGTAGTGGTACATGAATTGAATGCCTCTTCAACTTTTTCCTTTTTATGTCAAGGGGTAGAAGTTGTTATCGCATGGACTTAATATTGCGTTTAGTTGCAATTTGCAAATGCTAATGGGTTCCTGTTATTCCACCATCTCCTTGTTTAGGATGGTTACTTTTCTGGTCTGGCAATGTGGTTGATTGTCATAAATAAATGACCATATGGTACCAGTTCTTTAGCTTGATACGACAATATTTACTAGTATGTTCGGGCATATCCCCATCAACAAAACACAGTGAAAAATATGAAGTTATTTGTTTGGTGACTTACCTTCAGCTTGGTTAGAATTCTAACTAGTTTTATAGTAGACTTCCATGTCACTTCTGATTTGTTATGGGGGTTCAAATTGATGAATTAACCATTGGCTATAAGTGCAGGCACTAGGGTGCAGGCCTTTTAGCAGTTAGTGAATATTTCGGACCAGCGATTTCTCTTCTTTTGTATTTAATATTTGTTCACCATCACCTTATATTATTTTATAGAACGCGTAGTGTTGAATGAGTTGGAAATCTAGTAAGTGGGTTTTGTGAGTAAAGGAATTCCTTGGACATGCACTGCATCAATTTCTTTGCTAAACTTTATGTTCTTAGTACCATTCCAGTGCATTTGGGAATGTATGATGAATATTTCATACTAGTTATAAACTTCATTCGAGTTAACGATCAGATGGGGCAGTTTTACAGGGTTCAGGTTGGTTTGCAATCACCTGAAGGGGTAACAGTTACACGTGGAGTACTGAGAAGATTTAATGATTTTCTGAGGTTATTTGCAGATGTAAGTTCACAGCTTTCTATAATAGGTTGCTTTAGTCCCTTGGATAATATATGCATTCACTGTTCTTGATGAGATTTGCTAGAATAAAATATTTGTATGGAAAATATATGGGCATTTATCTACCATTTGGATGGATTTACAACTTTTGGAATATGTGTTCATATTAGTAGTTCTTGTTTCCCAGCTTAAAAAGGCATTTCCCAAGAAGAGTCTTCCACCAGCCCCACCCAAGGGACTACTGCGTATGAAAAGCAGAGCATTGTTAGAAGAGGTAGGATATCTGTTCTGAATGTTGTGTTTGTTTAGCTTTTCATAAATGATTCAAATAATTAAATGTTTCTCCCCTGGATGTTCTCTCCCCCTTTCGAGGCGCATGTGTGTTTGTGTTTTTGAATACTGAATATTTTACCCGACACCGTGTGGGTTAAACTTACCATTAGTTCTTGAAGTCTATGGTGGCCTTAGAGATACTCGTAGCACATCTAGAATCGAGTTGTTAACTTTAGATTTACTTAGCTGAGGCTTGAATCACTATTGTAAGGACTTTGTAATTTACTGGGAAAATGGGGGTCCTCCTGATATGGAAAAACTTATGAGTGTAGAATAATGTATAGTGTTCATTTCCTATTCTCACTAGCATGATGTATCATGTTCCCAATCATCTTGGCTCTTTCTATAAAAGAACGAAAAGTGTCTTAGCTCAGAAATTCTGATGTTCGCTTGCACATCATCTTAAAATTTCATTAGTCGCTCAACCATAGTTCTATGAGAAAAGTTCTCTCTCACAGTCATACTAGTGTAAGCAGAAATTAGGGAGGATGGGTGGAGGGAAGGTAAAGACATTTGCATGATTTGGCAAGAGCTGCATATTTTCGGAGGGAACTGCCTTTTTGATATTTAGGTTATGTTTAATTGGCCAGCACAGTTTCACTTGTATTGAAAACTAACTAGTCCCACAGTGTAGGTTCAAATGCTTTTATCTGAGTTCAGAGCCACACTATAAGTTCGATACATTTCCTTAAAGTCCGGTTCAAGCATAAGTATCGCTAAGAGGATTGAGAATATTTTAGTGATTTGGCTACTTTTGGTTATTAAACTTCTATCAGTGGCATGATGTCACACTCACAGAACTCAAAGATTGACAATTTATTTTCTGCTAGTTGAATCTCTAGGACGTATTGGTTTTATTAAGTATTTATTCATTCACTTGGGATTTGAATTCTTCTATTAGATTTTATTCTCTATTTGACTAATAATCTTAAAAGTCTTAGTCGTGTCACAGAGGAGATGCTCTTTGGAGGAATGGTTGACAAAGCTACTATCCGATATTGATTTATCTAGAAGCATAGCAGCTGCGTCCTTTCTTGAACTAGAAGTGGCTGCAAGGTCTGGTATGTACTTCATGTTTGGCCTGTGGATATTATATCATATTCGGCTTATACTTTAGAAAGGTGTACCTGTATTTTATCCATAGGGCTTAAAGACTTGACTTCTATTTGGGGATTAGACTCTGTCCCAGCTATACCCATTTTATTGCTAACTGCCTCCGAGACAGGGGAAAGAGGTACATTAATAAACCAAAGAACCTGTATCGACGCCTCCTATCTCCTTCTAGTCTCAACTGTATACACCAATTCCTGTTCTTGTATATTTGATTAGGAAGATCGTCGGATGAGTAGTGAATATTCGATTAGGAAGATCGTCAGATGAGTAGTGAAGTCCTGTATTATTGTAGCCCTTGGGGCCAAAGTAACCTGTAGATGTGCTGCAAATTTACCTGTTAAAAAGGAAAAAGTAGTTGGCAAATGTATATCATTTTCCAGCGAAGCTCAGATGCCTTAAAACTTGGAGGTCCTAAAATTTTCTCTAGGAAGTCTTTCGGATTTTAAATTCAGGGAGACAAAACCTTTCACCATTTCCTGCAAGAGGAAAAATTCAACATCTACCCACCTTAGATTGTGAGACTCAAATGCCTTCCAAGCAGTCCTGCTTCATGTCTTATAGCAAACGATTCTTTTGTTTAAACCTCAAAGTTTTGTGCATGTAGTTGTTTCAAAGTATGTATCCTTGCTGAACTTTTTTGTCCCCTTTCATTGTTTAGCATTTCAGGATGCAAATCAAGAGTCTTCAGAAACAGCCCTAACTGATGATGCTACGCCTACTTCATCTCAGATACTTCCTAATTCGAGCTTGTCTGCTCTCACTGCTACCTCGTCAGTTGCTTCCGATTATGGAAGTGATACTGCCTATGAAGCATCTGAGATTGGAACTCCAAGGTTAGGGAAGGATGAAAGTTCTGAAATCGGGATGGAAGATCTAGCATTGGATGAAGATCTCGCAAATCCAATAGAAAAGCTAGTGAAGTATGACATGTCCAATATTGATGAAGGACTTTTGATGGGGCATACTATCCTAGATCAGCTTGAAGGGTTTCCTAGGCATAAACCTCACACCAGACATGCAAACAATGTGATGGGGAATTCCATGTACAATGGCAATGCCTCTAAAGTTCAAACCCTAGTTGGCAATGGGGTGGATCTTTTCTCTGAGCCAGAGCATTGTAGGGCGGCACTTGGCCATGCTAGGAAGTTGTCTAGTGAGAGTTTTGGAAGTGATGGAAGCTCTTTGAGAAGCAGTGAAAATGCCGGTATATCAAATTCAATCACTGCTGATGTATCTCTTGACATTGCAAGAGGAGCTGAGGTTTCTAGTTCTTCTGGAATCCTTAGCAAGATTGAGTCGCAGCTTTCAGGCAATACACAAATAATTATTCCATTTGATCAGCGTCATAAAATGAGCAGAGTTCTAACGGCCCTGCAACGAAGGCTAGGCACAGTGAAAACCGACATGGAGGACCTGATATCAAGGTTAAATCAAGAAAGAGCCATTAAAGATTATCTCGCTAAGAAGGTACCTGAGCCCTGGTGGAATGCAAGTGAAATGCTTTCAAGATTTCTGTTTTTTATTTGGACTAGATGGGAACTCGATATGGTGTTATAACAGCACATCTGTTAATGATTTCTATCATCTTAACTAATGCGTTAGATTTTTGCTAAAATCAGGTGAAGGACCTAGAGGTTGAACTCGAAACCTCCAAACAGAAAAATAAGGAAAACTTGCAGCAGGCTATTTTAGTTGAAAGAGAGAGGCTAACACAAATGCAATGGGATATGGAAGAACTCAGGCGTAAAGCCTATGAAATGGAGCTAAAACTAAAGGCTAAAGAGGTCTGAAATAGTTTATTGGTTTCGCTGTATAGATTCTTCCTTTTGTAACTGTCTTGGTTTTCTTTAAGATTATGAGCATCTGAAACTATTTACTGTTTACATGAAACTGTTGCAGGATGAAAAGTCAAGCATGAGTTTAGAGGATGGACCTACAAATCAGCAGAAGGACGCGGCACTGGAAGAGTTGGACATTACCAAAAAGAAGCTTGAGGACCTGACGAAGCAATACGAAGTATTGGAAGTAAAGTCAAAGGCAGAATTAAAGTTTCTTGCTAAAGAGTTCAAATCCCTTCAAAGTTCTCAGAAGCAGTTGAAGGAGGAGCGTGATCGAGCAATGAATGAGAAATCCGATATTGAGGTGACGCCAGTTTAATGCTAAACCATCTGATACTATCATTTTGAGAATTGTAGTGTGCTGCACTATTGTTATCCTTAATGGTATTGCTTTTTCCAGAAACACCTTGAAAGTGAGAGAGAGATTGGGGAACATGAGAAAGACCTCCAGAAAAGGCTCCTGCAGGATTGCAGGACTGTATGGAGTCGACTTCAAGAATGCAACCTCAATCTATCCACTGAAGATGATGATAACAATTTTGTGCTGAATTCCTCATCCGAAGACATGTTCGACTTGTTGAAAACATTTGATGATCGGATTAGCCTTCTTCTTGCAGAGGTACTACCACTTTTCACTTTACTAGGATTCCTCTCTTTGATTTTCGCCCATCATAATCCATATCTGTCCACTCGTTTTGGTCATTTTATATGTGTGCCACATTCAGGCACAACTATTAGCTGATGATGGTGGTGCTGATCGCAACGTGAAGACGACAACGAACATTGAATTAAGTACACTGTTGGTAGACATACTAGCTGATAATGCGAAGCTGCGGAAACAGGTATACTCTGTTACTCGTCGAGCTCTCCGAAATGGCATGATTTCAAGGGAGCCCCCACTGAACATATCAAATGTAGATAGATGAACCGTACAGAATTACGTTCTCTCTTCTTTTTTCGTGTTTTAGCTTTCCCGTTTCTCTTCTATTTTTATCAATTTTAATGTCACATGTTGGCCTGTGATAAAGAAGTTGATCTGCACTGAACCGCAGCTCAACTATTTGTAACCTTGTGGAGCTTCACTATCCACTTATACGAAGAAAGTCAACTAGAGAGAGAACATTGCAATCGATGTTTCATACCCGCCATCTTTGTACTCAAGCCGAACATTTTGAGAAGCATGAATGACCATTCTCATAATCCCTTGCCCTTGGATTGTGTAAGTTTTGTTGTCGGAAATTTCTGTATTTCGCAATGTTCGGTCTCGGATTTGAATCCGAGACCTTGAGGTTGATGCCAACGGTTTTCTTATATGAGTAGTTGCTCTGTGATGCAAGTTACTTGGATAAATGTCATATTATATGAACTCAGCCACATGCTAAGTTCCTTTGCCCTAATAAACAAGCAAAAAGAAACGCACAGGGACGAAATGGATAAGGAAAAACATACATTTTTTTTTAAATGTTTCCAATGGCGTATTTCTTGGTTGTTGGATTGTGGACTGGAGTGAATCTTTCTACCTTTCTCGAAGCTGAACAAATCTGACCAGATAGGGGGAATCTTCTCATTGTAAGTAAAATACAATTGCAATGGTGTATTGTTGCCTGCATCCCATTGCATCAGCATAGAAAGTGCTGGCGAGAAAGGGAAAAAATCCCAAATTATACATGTTTTTAAAAAAAATTCTCAAAATACACAAGTTATGAAAATAATTCCCAATCTACGTTAGTTTGGGCCATCACCGCTTTCGACGAAGACAGTGATTGCATCACTGTTGTCAACGAAGACAGTGATTGCATCACCGCTGTCGACGAAGACAGTGATTGCATCACTGCAGTACACGGCCGCGGTGAAGGCCTGACCTGCGTCGAAACTTTAAACAAACGTAACTTTGTGCTCGGTTATCCGATCGTAGCGAAATTTTTTTTGATTCCGCATAATTTTTTGAGATCTTGCAAGCCGCAAATTGCCGTAGGCGGTTTGGTCCCGCCTTCGTCTCGAAAATATGTCGTTTGCTACACCGAATGAGCCTTTTTTCGATTTCGTCAAACTTTGAACGACCATAACTTTGTGCTCCACAATCCGAAAATCATGAATTTTTTTTTGATTTCGCATAACTTTTTAAGGACTACAATTTTTTGATTTCTCTCCTACTAAAAATTGTAGTCCTTAAAAAGTTATGCGAAATAAAAAAAAAATTCATGATTTTCGGATTGTGGAGCACAAAGTTATGGTCGTTCAAAGTTTGACGAAATCGAAAAAAGGCTCATTCGGTGTAGCAAACGACATATTTTCGAGACGAAGGCGGGACCAAACCGCCTACGGCAATTTGCGGCTTGCAAGATCTCAAAAAATTATGCGGAATCAAAAAAAATTTCGCTACGATCGGATAACCGAGCACAAAGTTACGTTTGTTTAAAGTTTCGACGCAGGTCAGGCCTTCACCGCGGCCGTGTACTGCAGTGATGCAATCACTGTCTTCGTCGACAGCGGTGATGCAATCACTGTCTTCGTCGACAGCGGTGATGCAATCACTGTCTTCGTTGACAACAGTGATTCAATCACTGTCTTCGTCGAAAGCGGTGATGGCCCAAACTAACGTAGATTGGGAATTATTTTCATAACTTGTGTATTTTGAGAATTTTTTTTAAAAACATGTATAATTTGGGATTTTTTCCGGCGAGAAAGGGTCGAGATTCAGGCTACAACACAAATGAATTGAATGATACATCACCGAGTAACCAACAGCAAGCTAGCTAGCTGGCTAAGTACAGCTCTCCTGTCTTTCATCTATGCCAAGCGTCTTCTTTCTAAACTGTTCATTCTCTTAAGTTACAACACAGGGCCTAAAGACAACCAGCAATACATCAAGAAGAAACCCCCACAAGAACAGAGAGGAAAGATCACTACTAGACAAAGCTACCATTTAACATACATACGGCAAGCCCTGAATTTTAACAGGGAAACGCATAGGTGTGAGAGTGGAGAAAACCGCACAGATGAACATTCACAGTTGCTCAAGCTTTCATCTCATGTTGCTGCTTTCCTCGTTCTGCAAGCCAGCCAGAGCATGGCACATTCAAAACCCAGAGGAGATATCTGCTGGCAAAAGAATTGCAGTTTGAATTAGTTAAACCGCAACAAGAAGGCACGAGGGAAAAACTCGGATGGATGCAGACCTCGGTGACAATTGTCTATTTCTCAAGGCTCCACGAGGATGTAAACTGGTTTTCCGTTCAGCCTACACTGCCCCTGGAACCACATTTAGCAGGTTCAGAAAGCTGGGAAAACTTCCTCATACTAACCAGGGAAAACAGTTCTCCCTTGCAGAATTATGGGGCTTCTCATCAACCAATTACCTTGACTTCAGGCAACCCAACCACACATCCACATTCTACAACTTGAGCCCCCATACATTCTGACAATCGGCAGTATGTCGACTGGTGTGAGAATCGGCTAGAGGAATTCAAGTACAGAGAACAAATGGGGAAGGGAAGACCATGGAAATATACCCAAGAGTCGTATCGCTGCTGACAGTGTTCCACCTGTAGCGACCAGATCATCAACTATCAATGCACGATCCCCTTGCTGCACAGCATCTACCTGCATCTCGAGGCAGTCTGTTCCATACTCCAGCTCGTATTCTTCGCATATCACTTTACCTGTATGGCATTCAGTCCGGATTCAAACACCCCTAGACACGGGGTTTCAACTCTCGACATAAACTTAGACCCCCAAAACTTGACTTCACATACTTCAAACTAGCCACAAATTTAGAAACAAACATTTTAGCATTGCCTCTATTCAACATACTACACCTTACCGGGCAGCTTTCTGGGCTTCCTCAAAGGGACAAATTTTGCTCCGATGGCTAAAGCGATCGAGGGACCAAACATGAAACCCCTAGCTTCAATCCTTGTCGACTAGCACAAGGTCATCAATCATTCATCACGTTTGCAAAATCAGGTACAAGAAACCTTCCCCACATCAAGTACACATAGTGAAACCTAGCCATCTAATAGTATATGGAGCTACCATTTCCACATAATTGAAGGACCCTCCAACAGAGACACAGGACAAAGGGGACAAGAAACACCACCATTAACAATCCTTTCCCCTTTCCTTTCCTTGGAATGCAATCGAAGGGGAACCAAGATTGCAGCTGGATATTCGCAAAAGTACAACACATAATCTCAAAAGAAAAATTCCTTAAGCAGGTAACTCCTCTCTCAACCACACTAGCCAAAGCGCCAATATCCAGCGAAAAGAAAGAACAGCCAGCCGACACTTAAATAACCCAGATAAGACGCATGCAAGTGCTGATACAGGACCCAAGAACAATTTTTTTTAGCCATGACCGAGCTTCCATGGAAAACAGAGAAACATGAAATTTAACAATCTCTTGGGTGGTGGTCAGTCAAGAGCTATATCAGCCACGACGGAAATGTCTGACGATTTTCTTTATTTAGGGTTGAGAATGTCGCCGAAATCACAGAGACAGCAGTATGCTGCTCTGTTCTTTTATATCATCTCATAATCAAGGATTACAGATAGTTGCCGTGTGTCTCTCTGGCACTGGCTAGTTTTAAACACTAAATAATGTTTTAACGGCTAACTTCAACTATAAAAAAAAAAACGGTGTCGCAGCACCTTTTACAGACAGAAGCTATTCTAAACGACTTTGTTTTCATCTGCTCTTCTGCAATCCTTCTTTTGCCTGGATTTGCTGATCCATAACTCTGTCAGCCTCCCTCAAGTTGTGGCAAGCAACAAGACTCACAACATGACAAGCAAATCCTTAAGCCTTGCTTGCTCCAATCCCTTTGTGAAGATATCTACAAGCTGGTTCAAAGTATTGACATGTTGTAACTTGATTAAACCTGTTTTGATCCTTTCTCTGGTGACATGGATGTCGATCTCTATGTACTTGGTCCTCTCGTGAAACACAGGGTTTTCAGCAATATGAATAGCTGACCTGTTATCACAGTAAACAGTGATAGGTAGAGGCACCCTAACACTCAGTTCTTCTAATAATCCCTTCAACCATTGTATTTCACACACAGTCATTGCTAGAGCCCTGTACTCAGCTTCTGAGGAGGATCTAGAAACAGTAGTCTGCTTCTTAGTCTTCCATGTTAGCAGAGATTTTCTCAGGAAAGTACAATAACCAGTGGTGGATCTCCTAGTATCTGGACAGCTTGCCCAATCTGAGTCACAGAAAGCAGTCAACTTCAATTCAGCATTACTGTCAAAATGAATTCCCTGACCAGGTCCATTCTTCAAGTACCATAGGACCCTACGAGCTGCTTGCAAGTGCTCTTCATGAGGCTTCTTTTGAAATTGGCAGAGCTGTCGAACAGCAAATGCCAAATTTGGTCTTGTTATGGTGATATAGTGGAGCCTTCCCACTAACCTCCTGTACTGTTCTGCATCTGCCAGAGGGGTACCCTGTGTTGCTGACAACTTCACTTTGTAGTCAACAGGTGTTTGACAACCCTTAGACTCCAAGTAACCTGTTTCACTTAACAACTCTAGGCAATATTTCCTCTGGCACACACTTATGCCATTTGCAGTTCTATTGATCTCCAAACCAAGGAAATACTTCGAAGGACCTAGAAGTTTCATTTTGAATTCCTGACTCAAAACCTTCTTGACCTGTTCTATGTCCTTCAAGGCATCTCCTCCTATTATAATGTCATCAACATAGATGAGCATTACCACAATTCTACCTCGAATCCACTTTGTGAATAAGGAGTAATTTGATGCAGACTGACTGAAACCATTTTTCGAAAGAAAGGTACTTAACCTGGCAAACCACTGTCTGGAAGCTTGCTTCAGGCCATACAATGATTTCTTCAGTCTGCATACCATTTTTTGTGATCCAGAATACTCTAAATCCAAACCTGGTGGTAGCTGCATATAAACTTCTTCATTTAAGTCTCCATGAAGGAAAGCATTTGATACATCCATCTGTTCCAGTGTCTAATTTTTCACTGCAACAATTGCCAGAAGTGCCTTCACTGAGTTTATCTTGGCCACAGGAGAGAAGGTGTCTAGGAAGTCAATTCCATAGACTTGTGTGTACCCTTTAGCTACTAGTCTAGATTTAAACCTCTCAAGAGATCCATCTGGCTTAAGTTTTACCTTGTAAACCCACTTATTTCCAATTACCTTCTTCCCTGCTGGTAATGGAACTATGTCCCAGGTTTGGTTTTCTTCTAAAGAATCCCATTCTTCCCTCATGGCTCTTATCCAGTGTTCATGTTTGATTGCTTCTTGATATGCCAGAGGCTTTTCTAGTTGGATTACACTCAAAGCATATTTTCTATCTTCAGCATTGAGGTGATCCACATTTAGAACCACTGGATATCTGCTGGCAGCTGAAGCATTGTGACTGCCAAAAGCTCCAAACTGTATAGTTGAATCCAATTCACAATCAGCATACTTGCTAGGCAAGTTATAAGTCCTCTTAGGTCTTGCAGGTGGTGCATAATCCTGCTGAGGCTCCAGTTCTGGTTCAAGTTCTACTATCTCTTGTTCTTCATGATCTATCATGTGAGGTAAAAGAACTAGGTATGACCAGACCAGGAGGAGGAGTGGAATCAACTTGTGAAGTAGGCTGAACAGGTTCAGGAGGTGGAGAAGAAGAGGAAGAATCATCAATTGTTCTAAAAGCCAGGATTGACTCATAGAACACAACATCCCTAGAGATGAAGACCTGTTTGGTGTTGATATCAAGCAACTTATATCCTTTGATCCCAGAAGGTATACCTAACAAGACACATTGTTACACCCCGACCTTTGGGTTCAGGTTCGACCATAATACGTGAATGGTTGGATTAACGGTTACGTACTAAGGTTTGCAACCGCGGATTAGGAATAATAATAATAATAATAATAATAATAATAATTATTATTATTATTATTATTATTAAAAAAAAGAGAAGCGGGCCAGGAGGGCGCTCGGCCCTCATTGTATTTTGCAAAATACCTATTCTCCATTCACTAAAAGAACCCTAAAGTCTGCTACAAAAAAAAAAAAAAATCCGCCGCCCAACCTTTTTCCTCTAGCCGATCTCTGTACCTCTCCGATCACATTCAGCGTTATCGACTTCTTTGCCTCGTCCTTGGATTCCACCTCCACACTTCCGCTCATCAACGTGGGCGTGCCAGCTACAACAAAATCAACAAGCCTATTACTACACTTGATCGACGTGGAGAAGGACGTGCAGAATGGCACCATCAAGCACCGTCAAAGCCCTCTCCACTTCAACGGTGAAGTCAACATGGCCGGTGTATCAATTATATTGACCTGGTAGCCATTCCAAGTACAGTAGGTAGCCGCTGACTAAATTGTGATGCCTTTCTCCCTTTCCAAGTCCATCGAGTCCATCTTAGCTCCGACACCATCACGACCGCGGACCTCGTGGATCTCGATCACGGCAAGACGACTCTCGCCGACCACTTAATCGCCGGGACTAGCGGCGGCCTGCTCCATCCGAAAATGGCCGGGAAGCTCCGGTTCTTGGATTTCCTAAACGAGGAGCAGAGGAGAGCCATGACCATGAAGAGCTCCTCGATAGCTCTGAAATTCCGTGATTGTTCGATTAACCTAATCGATTCCCCGGGACACATGGACTTCTGCAGCGAGGTCTCCACCGCAGCTAGGTTGAGCGACAGCAGGCACGGCAAGACCAAACGACGTCGGCGGCCCCGGCGTAGCCGACTTTGACCATTCGTCAAGTGGTGGGTATCATCTCGTAGAGGGCAATCCAGGAGCATCACCGCGTCGACGAAATCGGATTCTGACGTCAGACGAGGGAGAAACGAGCATCGAAAGGTTGGAGTGAAAGTCGGACAAATTCAGGTACTGTTTGTGACAATTAAAAAATTTTAGGGACCAAAAATGTAATTTTTCCTCAGAAGTCCGAGTCAATGGTGTTGACTGGATAATTTCAGTCTCGGTACCTGGAACTTTGAAAACTGACAAAATGTTATTTTGGTCATAATGCGATCAATTGACGTCCAAACGAGGAATCGTCAGCGACTATGGAATTGTGAGAACGAGGAGAATTTAATTGGAGCAAGGATGGAAATTTTAGATCAGATTCAAAGTTGGCTTCGAACGATTAGAGGTGAGTGTAAAGTGGGTAAATTCTACGCCTTACGTGTTCTTTCAAGAGTACAAGTTTTGAGTATTTTGATGAAGTGAATGACGTTGTTTGATTGTGCTTATGGTTGATGATATGTGATTTTGTTTGAGCTATGCTTGATGTGAATGTGCATGAGTTTTATTTATATTTAAGCTTTCAGTTTATAAGTTATTGTTGAAGTTAAGAAGCAAGTTCTTTTTAAGAAGTAACTCACCTTCAAGAAGGTGAAGTCATTTTAAGTGTTTTTAGTCACTAGCGTCAGTCCGTTGCCTTTTGAGACAGTTTGAGATTGAGCAGCAGTTATGCTCTTGAGATTTTTTTAAGATGGGCAGCAGTTATGCCCTTGAGAATCGTGGTGAAGAGCCACCACGATAAGTTTAAGATGTTAGGGGGATGAATCGTTACGACTTCCCTAACTAAGTTTAAGTTTAAGGAAAGCCTGGATGGCTTCTCATACGTATGAGTTGGCAACCGGACTAGCTAGTGCGGGATCCCAGTGTCAGTCAAGTATTTTAAGTCAAGCTTTGAGATTTAAGAGTGGAGTAACAGTAACCCCCATACAGTTTTAAGAGTTAGGTTTTTTTTATCAGTGGAAGTACAAAATAACTTCCACTCAGTTAAGTAAAGTGATCAAGTATTAATAAGATGTTAAACGTAAGGGCGTAGACTGACCCCATCTCACTCACCTGTTTGAGGAGCTAGAGGAGCAGTTAGTGAGCAGCGGGTTCGAGGGCAGTCAGCTA